AATCTGAATCTCTGAAACGGCTTCAACGATTTTCATGTAATATAGTACACTGGGGGTTCGGGGGCGATAGATCGATCTAGATTAGTCTTAGGTCTGAGAAAATGCGTGTTTTCGAGTTTTCATGCAGTTTTCTTTTGCTATTCCAAAATATTGCAAAATATGGTCGGTAATTTGCACGCTCAGGAATAAGCATCGTGGTCAAGCGGCCTAGGTGCAAGATTAACAATCACAGGAGTCCAGGTTCAAATCTCGGTCGCATACAAAATTTTTACTTTTGTTCTTTTTTTAATATGTATTCAAGTTTTTAGTTTTTTTAAAGAAAAAGAAAATTGTACTTCATCTCAAAAACTCCGAGCGAAGTTCGGTAGCCCAGATACTAGTAATAATAACAATTACTTTTATTATGTTTTTTCTCATTAGGGAATTTTTATAATAATTTAAAGAGTTATCGTTTCCGTCATAATGTTTCTGTAAAGAAAATAATCGAAGCCCCATAATTTGTAAGCCCAGTCCTGTAGCTTGTGGCAACTCAATTTTCAACAAAATTTAAAGGACGAGCCACAAAAAAAATATTTTATCCTAAAATTTAAGGAAACTGCCGTGTTGCTCAGACACTTTCAACAGTTTCATATAGACTATGCCGACTTAGAAATGTACCCTAATTTAGGTCACAACGCTGTACCAGTATGAAGTTTTCATTGCAAATGCAATGTATATCTTGTTTTATGAATATCTTAACACCTCCAGGTAAATTTTTAAGAAATTAATTAAATTTTTATGAATTCTATTGTTAACTGTAACGCGGTCGTGGAGGGATTAATCACTAAAATAAAAAAAAATGAGTGCGTGTAAGCTTTCCGCGCGGTTGACGTAAAACTTCTTTGGCATATTACAATCATATATTTATAGAATATCATATACGGAAAGAATATAATATTATATATTTGTCAGACTATAACAACAGTTTCTATGGCAACATAGCAATGTATTCTATCTCATTTTCTCGCCGGCTTAAACCTATATATTTATGTGTTTGTGTCTTTTTTAGTGTCGCATTTTCGTTTCATCGAGTTTTAAATCACGATTTTTTTTAAACACAAGTTTCACTTTAAAAAGAACATAATTTAAACGTTGTTGTATGCTGAAGAAAATTTGAAAATATCTCAATCAATAGACATGTCTGAATAAAACAGAACATGCGTATATAAAAAATATCTTTTATAGAATAATAATTAATCGATCGATTCTTATCAATTTTGGACGATACCAATCATACTAAACTCCATGTACTTTATTTAGAAAGTTTTATGATTATTAATTAGGCACAAAAATGATCTCAGAAGCATTTTCTTATATCAGGTTTTAAAGTTCAATGACTATGTTATGTCACGCGAGAGCCTGATGACTGCACGCGGCGCCCTCGTGTTCGTGCTAGAAAACCGCTATTTTATATGTCCGTTCTAAACATTAACCAGTTTGTAGAATAAAAATGTATACTTTACATATTTCATTAGTTTTAAGTTGTTTTTGTTTGAAAATAAATAAAGGACACATCAGTTTATATAGAGCTTATTTGAGTTGTGTTGTATATGAGTGAAAACAACTTATAAAATTTATGTAGACCTTTATATTATTAAAGTTCTGAAAACAAGTCTTTGATTCTATATATCTAACTTTTATATCAGAAGGTACATAGGTTTTATATTTAATAAAATATTTTTACTACGAGTACTCCTATTTTCTTTAAAAATAACTTATAAGGTATGACGAGCGATGTTTATTATAAGGGATTCGAATCCGGACACTTATTCAATCTTGCGCCTTGGAAGAATTGCTCGTTTAAATATTTTATTACTATTAACTTTAGTTTGAAAAGAAATGTAAAATTCCTTTTTTTTTTCATTAAACTTAAGTAAATACCTAATATAAATTTGAATAAGTTTTACGCCTATGTTACACTAAGATTCATCTGTGTCGAAAATGTATGATTTTATTCCGATTTTCTGATTCATAGAAATTTTAAGAAAATAATCACTTAAAGATTTTGGTACTTTTATTAGTTTGAAATAAAAATATTTTTTCAAATGGAAATTGTTAAAAGTATGTATTTGGAATCATTAACGTGTACTGAAAAAGGAGAGAATTGATTTACTTTTAATTATGGGGTCGTATATATAGAGAATTATGTACGTAAATATAATTCATTTTTTCATATTAATACTAATATGTATTGTTATTGCAGTTACATTATGAATGTTACAACCTACCGGCCTAAAATATGTACAATACAGATTATAGTTTACATATACATACATACAATATCCACCATAAAATGTATATATGTGTATATAATGTAGCCTAATCCAAAAAATAACCTGTCTAGTGTTGGACCCCTAATAAAACTTCGAGATATTCCTTGCTTATATTCTTATATTCAGTACTTTTATAATCGTCAGTGAGTTACATAATTTATAATCATATTTTTTCAGTATTACAAACAATTCGTGCCTAGTCACTACATCATGGTGGTCCCGACATCTCTGTGCAAAAGCGCGGGAAAAGCAATGAATATTCGCGCCCTTTTTTATTTTTTTTTAAAACACATTCCAATCGGCCAAGGTCACATAAGTAAAAGCCTTATACATTATTAAATCATTACAAATTAATCAAATATATTATTTTTTATTAAAACTTTCAATATATAAAAATATAACCTTACACTACTAAATGCTAATATTATATCATCCCTCTCGATACCATACAAAAGATACTTTATAGTTAATTCTTATTTTTCATCTTAAAGCTAAATACCACTTTCCGTGCATTTTGCGTAAAGATTAACAGTTTTATACAAACTTTGCACTCTTTTTCACCCCCTAAGGGGTAGAATTTCGGAAAATACTTTCTTATCGGATGTCTACGTCATACAAAGAACACACCTTTCAAGTTTCAGGTCTCTACGATCAGCGGTTTAGGCTGTGTATTGATATGTCAGTCAGTTATTCAGGACAAAGCATTTTATATATATATAGATTAGCATTTCCACGTGTAAGAACAATGCTATGTGGACAAAAACTTATGGTATGTTAATTAAGAACTTTTTATTGTAATAAAGTTTTCAAAGCTCATAATTCAGTTTTAATATATGATAAATATGCAAAATAGGTGAACAAACAAACAGTATTGAAATGAGCGTGATGGCATAGGTGCTTAGTATTGCATCAGGCGGTCAGACCAGTTGTACGACCTAAAGGACCTTATTGTTTTCTACATAAATAAACCAGTTTGTGCATATATACATGCAAATGTCTATATCTATATTAATAATTAAATTTGTAGTGTCTGTTCGAACGTTTACGAGAATATTGTAGAGTTTAGTTATAATTGAATAGTATCAAATCTTAATTATATCAAATCATAAGGTCTTGGGTTAGAGTCCCGGTTGGGTCAAGTATTGAGTTTTTTTCAAGAAATTTTCATTAGCAAAATCAAAACCCAAAATTGGGGTCGTGACGGTGTAGCACCATTGTGCCTCGGAGAGCATGTGAAGTCATCGGTTCTGTGCCTGATATCTCGGTTCACTGGGTTTAGAAAATGAAAGAAATAAATAATGTTATAATTTCCACTATTCAAACAGCAAGTCCCGAAGTACTTCATTTATATAGATATATCAAAATATAGGCACCAGATCACACTGTCGGTCGAATTTCTTCGAGCTAACATTAAAGATATTACATTTCTTGGGATAATATTTTTTTCCAGAAAAATAGAATTCCTACGGAGTAGGCTAAGGAAATGGCTTTAAAAGTAATATGTCGTTTTGCTTTTTATATTCCGTTGCGATAGAAGTCACGTACTGCAAGCGTTAAATATGTTTATTTAAATATAGCTAAAATATGAGAAGAAATTCTTGTGTAACCAGTTGTTGTGCATCATAAGCACAATATAAATTATATAATTTACAATAACCGTAAATATCAGTGACAGAATCCGAGCCAGTTCATTCTAGTTTTTGCAAAATGTGCTTATTAATATACAATTATTATGTCTTGTTGCTGTGTTAGGTATTCTCTTGATTTAAATTAATTGTCATATTATCATTTCCTTATGTATTAAGGTGATTTTTTTAAAATGATTTTATCGATAACTGTTGTGAGTTAATAGAATATATTATACTACTTTATACGTACCTACCTACATATCTACGTATCTTTATATGTACCTACATCTGAAACTACAGAACTTTGAAAATTTATTTTTTCAATTTTATAGTTCGCTGATTTTCCCGCGACTCTGCTTGCATGTCTCTCCGGTATACATAAATCCATACTAATATTATAAATGTGAAAGTGTGTTTGTTTGTTAGTTTGCTTGTTTGTTTTTTTCACGTTTGAGTGACGGAATGGAGTGATTTTTAGTGTGGGCATAGTTGGAGGGCTAGAGAGTGACATAGGCTACTTTTTACTCCGTGAGTTTATCTAATTCCCACGGGAAAACACTTTATAATACAATTCAAAAACATATTTTTGATCAGAATTACTTGAAACTTGGGATTAATGGTCTTCAATAAAATTAAATAAATACGTATTTTAGCATTTTTCGAAATTCATTTCGAAAATAGAGGATGAAACTACCTTTTTAGAGTTTTTCTTGTAGTTTTAGCGCGAGCGAAGCCGCGGGTTCTGCTAGTATATTATAATGTGTAAATCGGGTGTTTATGACGCGTGTTTTAATATTTTATATAAATATCTTTCATTTCACAGGTGCTTTTCTATGCAAAAATATAATATTACTACAGCATATTCAATAAAAAAAATATAAATACGTATATTTTTACTTCCAGGCTCGCTAAAAACTTGTGCACCCGTAAGGGCAGTCGTCGGGCTAACACCGGGAACCGTCTCGAGCACGCAGTGCTTACCCATCTCCAGCACGTGCCGTAGATTACCTTCTTCCGAACCTTTTCATCACACATCACCGTCATTCCATCATCAATAACCATGGCCCGCGGCGACGAGTGCAAAACTGCCTCCAAGGCTACACGCGCATGCAACCAATTCGACGTCTCTGCTCCTATCACGTAAGTTTTTTTTTTTTAGGCTTCTATACCCGAAAGGTGCCAACGGCACCCTCAATTACTAAGTCGCAACTGTCCTTTCGTCTATCTGTCAGCGAATTGTATCTCATGAACCGTAATAGGTAGGGATGAAATGTTAGTAGGGTAGAATATGCCCAAAGTTTGGCGTTTATTATGCATTTTTTTTTAGGTGTGTCTTTCGTTTTTCGTGTTTATTATTAGGAGTGTCTGTAAAACGTAGTATAAAGTATGTAATAATTACTAAAAAATAATAATTATATAACCTTATTGTTATTCATTGAATTTAATTATTATTATGGCATTGCTTTAATATCGTTAAAGAAAATTTATTTACTAAGTTTATTTTCAAAATAATCTTCATTATTTATTCTATAACTGTTATTGTTAGAGATAAAGACAATATTCTTTATTATTTCTCTAAGTATATTAAACTAATCATGACACAACATGGCTTGAAGAGCAAAATATATTTTTAAAACCGTCTGATGTTTTTCTTTATATTGTATGCAATCGCCGCTAAGCATATTCATAGAAGCACTATCACGTTTTATTAAAAGGACTGAAGTATTCCATTTCTCGCATTCGCTTCTGAAAGAAAATATATGAGTACATTACATCGCAATCTTATATTCTACGCTGCAAGTGTAAATAGAGAAATTGTTAAAATTTTAAAAATACTACCGGCTCACCCTCGCTTCGCTCGGGTTCGTCGCTAGGTACTTTTTAAATATATATAAATAGTTATTACCCAGCGTTAGCCATATAAATTTTAATATGGTTGTTAAGTATTCTTAAATTTTATTATATTCCGCGCCATTTTTAATTTTTTTTCTTTCATAAGAACCTTCTCCTGACAATAACAAACACAACAAAAAAAAATTACTTAAACCTGTACAGCCACCACCGGTTTTTTTATTCTCTATTAGGGTTCTTTATTAGTGATAATGCCTATATATGTGTGTATGTACGTAAGTTAACTTATATAAGCGTGTAGAAATCCGTATGAGTATAAAATGAAAATTTATATAAAACTAAGTTAGTATATTATATTCGTATTGATTTCCGATATTTTATATTCTAGATAGGCTGTTGGTAGCCTTATAATTTTTCAAAGAGTAGCCATTTAAATGCACAAGAAGTTTTCAAATTGTATTGGTAGTTCCAGAGAATACGTCGTTCAAACAAACCAAATAATGAATGTCAGCTTTAAATATTAGTGTAATTAATAGATAAATAAAGTATTAGTTTTACAAATAGATACCACTAAAGTTATTAATTTTTGTTTCAGAAAACCTATAGCTTCTCAATCCAATATCCAAGATACTAAGAAACAGGAGCAAAAGAACTACGGCGCCTGGGGCCCCACATTCAAAGACAAAAAAACCTTTCTCGACATGCATTTGTGCTGAGCCATAAGCTCCCAACAATTTTATCATTGCTTAATAAAACGTCACGGTAACCAAAAATGACCGCTATACGCTATTAGGATATTCCATTTTTGATAAAACTTTGTACTGGAAAAATATACCTTGTCTAGGCTTCGTCTAAATCATTTTACGATAGATTTGTTTTTTTTAATACTTTGTATTTGGTACATAACTAATAATACTAGTGACGTTTTAGCTTGTCTTCTTTTCTTCTTCGGTTTAGGGTCTCGCGTACTAACAGCCTTGTGTATCATGTTAACAATTAAAGCATCACCATTTACATCAGATTTTTTGTTACAACCTGATGATTCGACTGAGATATTATATAAGTTATCAATTCAATAAAGTTATTTAGTATTTTAATATTTATTTACTCCTGCAAAATTTATTTTTATATTTTCCTTGTATTGAATTTGTCTTTTAAAAATAATGGAGATAAATAATTAAAAATGAATAATTTGTCATATATAGGGTAAGAAATATTTAATTTCCAAATCATAGTAATTTTAAACACAATTTACAAATATTGTAGTTGTAGTAGTTTGTTGTTTATATCTGCATTTACAGTGTGCGACATCAGATTATTAATGTTGTTTTTGCAAAGATATACAATTTTGGCCAAAGGAGAAGTATTTTTCATTATAAAATAAATTTCTATGGGAAAATGGGAAGGCAAAAATTAAATAATTTAACAGCTTAATGCTACAAAACTAAAGAAATATAATGAGAAATAATAGTTAGCCTTCTACGTAAAATATATTACTTTTTTAATACGAGAATGAAATTTGATCATAATGAAAATTATTTCCTACATCATTAAAATATTTACTTAAGTTGTTTGACTGAAAGTAACGAACTTCTTTGTTGGAACAGCACTTCGATATTCAATATTCAAATAAAATTTACCATTCTACTAGTATCTAGCTTAGCTTTATTTATTGGGAATTCTGTGCACAGATACAATGAAAGCAGTAAACAAGGTTCAAGAGTTGAAGGAAATACCGCTGTCATTCAAAGTTAAGCCTCAAATTGCAGGCAGGTATGCAAGTGGTTATGTAATTTTGCATTTGCTTTAAAATCAAATGGAATTTCTTCGTTTGTATGCTTCAAACAAAGAGCTTGGAATAAAATTGATGAAATGTAATAATGCAGTGATCTAATAAAATTATTAGATTTCTTTAATTCTTTAAGACATCCAAGCATTTACATAGGCTATATATCTTTATAGAAATAATAATAAGAGACCACTTACAAATAGTGATGCCATATAAAAAAATCATAAATGTTACTAACGTAAATAATAAAAAAGAATATGAACAAAAACGACTAGACTAGAGCTCGTTAGTAAAAAAAGGCTAATTCTAATTTACAGAAATACAGAAGCCCAATTTAGTAATTTAATTTTTTACAGAACATAAAAAAGTTAAAACAGGTGACGGTTAATTAAAATCCCTCGGGATGTGAACACACTTTTTGTACAGTTCACGTAAAACATACAGTCGATTTTAATTGCATCTGAAAACCGATTCACAGTTCAATAAATAAGTCTCATGCCAGTGATATTTACGAAATGATTTATTGAATCGAGTTTTTTTTGTTTTTTTATCTATTTTATTTATAGATAAATAAAGTCTTTATATTTATCGATACAGATAATATATGGGTAAAATAATTATTTAATATTTGAAAATTATCTATGTGATATAATTCTCTTTATTACGACTAATATTAGGACTATAGTCACTCGCTTATTTCTTAACTAACGTTAGGTTGATTCCCCATACAAATTTTCATCCCCATTTTCACCCCCTTAAGGAATGATTTCCGTGATAAAAAGTAATCTATGTCCTTCCCAGGATCTCAAATTATTTTCCCAAATTTCATCTAAATCGGTTCAGTAGATCCAGAGATTACCCTCTACAACCTCACAAACTCACAAACTTTATCTCTTTATAATATTAGTATAGATATGTCAAAGACCCCGGGGGAGAAGCCAACTCCTACCGGGCGCGTCCCCAGGTGGCGGATAGGGGCATGCCACCCGCTTAGAGGGGCGGGTGGTACCGGAGAAATCCGGCGCGGACCAAATGGCTTGGATGGGGCCGCTCGTCTAGGCCTCGAGCCGAAGACGTTGCGGCCACCGGTGGTGGGACCGCTTGGTCCCACAACCGGATGATGGGTGCCGGTTGCGGGACTGTGGTCGCAGGCCCGCATTCGGCGGAGGGGTAGGCCGCGGCGGGAGAGGAGTGCTGGTATTTCGGTGCGCCGTTCTCCCTACCTTCCGCGGCCTAGACGGGGCCGCCACCGTTTGATGGCGGACGCGGTGGGGCTGCAGGGGAAGAGGAGTGTCGGTGTTTCGTTGTCGCTCTCCCTGTCCTCTGCAGCCGATTGGAGGTGGCCCACTTCGGTGGGCGGCGTTTGGTTTAATGGGGCTGCTCCGGGTACCTCTCTGGCGTAGCAGAGTTGACTGTGGAGCAGCCCCATTGGTTTGGTGGTCTGCGTTTAGGCAGACCTGCCGCCGGGGCGCCGTAGTAGTTATGCGCAAGCGATCCTGCGGCGTCCCACTAAGGCGGGGGGAAGGGATGTCGGGTTTTAGTGGGTAGTACCGGCTCTTCTAGCCGGTGAGCCCCACATCACCACCTGGGGGATCAGGTGGTATGCGTAAATGCATTTCCCGACGATAAAAAAAAAAAAAAAAAAAAAAAAAAAAGATATGTCAAAGACACGTAATCTATGAACATAATAAACTAATAGTTCTGCGAACAGTAGATCTCACGAGTACAAACTGTATTTTGAGGAACTATTCAAGATTGCTTATCAAAATCCTCATCAGATATTTATAATTTTTTTATGAGACTAGCTTAAAGTTACTACCTTTCAAATAAAAAAGAACCATCGAAATCGGATCTTCATAACGCGGAGATATCCAGTAGCCCCTTATTTGCCCTTTTTTGGAGGCAGTACTTCAATCAAAAATACCTGACGACAAAAAAATCTATAAAGTCGACAAAAAAACCAAGGATACCAAGTTTCGTCCAGATTGGCTGTAAAATACGACCTATAGAGGAGAACCAACAAACTGACAGAGCTAAGCAAATTTTGCCAGACTTGGAGCAGAGACGCTTCGCTCGTTCGTCAATAAATAAATATACATTTTTCTCCTTGTTTTGGTAGCCCTTTCATGAATCATAATTCAATAATGTTTTTTACATATAATATTGATACTTTCCCATACCAGAATCAAGTTTACTTCCTATAAGATATTGAAAACTAAAACTGGATAACACTGGGTAAGCAAACATCGATCTTTCTATTTTAGTAATACGGACGATAATCATTTGTGTAACAAATTTAATAACATTATTTTGCCTATTGAGCCATTTTAACAGGAAGGTCTCTTATTAGACTAAATTGTTTGAATTTTGTCATATATAAAGTAAATGTTTAGCATCTAAATTACATTCCTTTTTAAAAATAGATAAATTGTTCATAACTTGTCGTTGTTGTTTTTATTGTGGTTGGCCAAACATAAATAATATATAGAATACTAGCGATTCACCCTCGCTTTGCTCGGGTCGGGTCGTCTCTAGGTACGTTTTAACGGTTAGTATGGAATAGATAGACTATATATTATATATGTATATACACATAGGTATGATGAGTTGTTGTGGGTTGTAATATAACGTGTTTTCCTGTGGGAATGAGAAAATCTGCTGTGGTAAAAAGTACCTGATGTCACTCTCCAGCCATCCGACTGTCTTCACTCAAAAAACCACACCAATCTGTCACTCTGTATTGACGTGAAAGAAGAACAAAACAACAAAGAAACACACTTTCACATTTATGATATTAAGTATGGATATGGATACATTCTTTTTGTTTTGCTATATACTATTCAGTACATTATTCAGTTTTTGATGTAATTCAAACAAAAATTAAAAAAGGAGGTGCTTACAATCCTGATGTATCTATGTAGAGAATTTACGTGATATCTTCAATAATTGTGAACCATTATTCTTTTACACCGTACACGCTTCCGCGGCAAGCAGCAGAAATTAGAGTAAGGAATGGATTGATTGAAACTCGTACCAAATAATAAGTGGTAAAAACATCCAATGAATTAATGATTAGATATTTATTATTAAACTCTATTGGTTTGTGATTATTTGTAAATAAGGAAGCGGTAGCCTAGTGGTAACGCGCTCCTTTGGGAAACCGTGTGAAGCGGGTTCAAATCCTAGGTCTCGCACCTGTTATATTTTCATGTGCTAATCATATAATATATACAACCTGATTACTATTTTCTTAGGGTAAGGGAAAACATCGTGAGAACTTGCGTGTCTAAGAGAATCTAGCTGGACCATAGTTAGCATGATCCCCCTCGTATTGAAGGAGCAGGAGGAGGAGGAGGAGGAGTCCCACCTCCGATGACTTCCGCAGTGGGACGTTAAAAAGGATTGGATACGCTATTGGAACTACTCTTGTTTACATACTAATATTCTAATTTATATATTAGCTAAACTAAATGTACATATATAAAATAGGTTGTGAATCTCTGAAGCTATAAACTATCTCTGTCCAAATTACATTAATGAGTTGTTCCGGTGCTGCGTAACACAAAGATAACCCAGTAAATACACTCTAGATTTGATCATATAAGTAACTAGCGACCCGTCCTTCTTCGTTCAGTCTTAACGAGTTTATTACAGCATCGATTTTTGTTCACTTTCTATAAACGTAATATGTGCCTTGTGCCTATCATGCATTAAACTTTTAGAGCAATCCATTTGACACAAAAAATTTCACAGAAGGAATTGTACTCAAGAATTTCTCTAAATAATAATGAAAACCGTATCAAAATCCGTTGCGTACTGTAGAAGAACTAAGCATATAAATAGACAGACGCGGATAGCTACTTTGTTTTATACTATTCAAAGAACCTTGTTTTATACATTGTATGTATATATGTACCATACATATGCATTTATTAATTAGTTGTAATTAGGACCAAATCAGTCTGTAATCGTCTTTGTCCAGTGAAAATAAATTAACCGTATTGATTTCCATATATTTTTATTTGTTTATTTTGCTTTGTTATTAAACTAGCCTTTGCCCGTGATTCTGCTCGCGTACCTTATTTAAGTATAATTGTTTCGATCTTCAGGATCAGGTCATATTAGACCATTCTCAAGAAATAGGCAATTATATTTAAAAAGAATTTATGAAATCTGCCTGGTTATATAAGGTTTTTTGTAGATTGAACGCGGGCGAAGACGTGGGGTCCTCTAGTTGTTTAAAAAAAATGAAGTGAATTAAATGTTTTTATGTAGATTTTAATGGAGAGCGCTGAGAAGAAACTTACTAAGAGCTGGATGAGTAATTTTTCTGAATCGAAATTCTTTGATAGATTATTATAGATGTAATGAAACCGAGCTAGAATCAAAGGATGGTACTTAAATCATACATTTTAAGTGTTTTCTATAAAAAAATTTGGCCTTATATCCGCAGGTATATTTTTTCAAGTTTTAAATGTTTTAGAGTAGACATTTTGATAAGTTTTTAGCCAGTTTGAACAAGTGCGTACATTTCTGAATATTATTTTTAGGGTTATGTCATAAGTATTTTAAATTATTTCAATTCAAATATTTTTATTGTTGCATTATTTTGTGCAGTGGCAGTCGGTATTTTAAAATTATTTTAGTAAAGTCTGTTGTATATATGTATATCCTTCATACTTCATTATTTCAATCCACAATAAAAATTACTTCACCTGAGAAAGTTATAATATATTACCACCACCACGCAACTACACCATCATGCAACACCACGCCATAGATTGTAAATATTTTATTTGTTGGTTCATGAAAAATCATTGAAGTAGGTCGATACTAACGAGTAACAACAGCTGCTACGCTCTACGTCACGCATTACGCAGTATAAATGGATGGGTTGTTTCAAGTTTTTTTATATACATATTCAGTATATTGCTGCACTTTTGGTAATAATTAATAAGTAATTATCCTCAACAATATCCTTTCAAGTAACGATGATATATGATAGTTATGTGTTGTTATGTGTCTGGCTAATGTTGTTTATTTGCCGGATATTACAGGTTCAATAGTATGATTTCATGATAATGATAAGTATATAGGTATAAGTTTTATATTCTTGCATTTTGCATGATAAAATAACACTATGGGACTACTACTATAAGCATGGAGGAGAAATAAGCTATGGTTGGACATGTAGGTTTTCTCTCAATTTTTTTTCCATTGTAAGGAAAGTGGTAATCATGTCGATAATAATGATTCGCACATGAAAATATCAGAAGTGTGAGACCCGAGATTTGAACGTGCTTCACAAATATCTAGTGGGTTCTCTTGAGGAGAATCTCTACAGTCCTCGATCAGTTTCACACGTAACAGCTGATCGAGGTAAAATCCAGCGCCAAACTCACACGAAGCGTTTCTTAAGGAAGCCACAGAGAGAGAGAATCCAAGGCGATGAAAAGTCTGTTTTCAAGAGGTACGTTTATTAAAACATAAAAAATCACTATAGAAATAAATAAATCAGACAATAGCACTGATAAAATGTCCGTGTTTAGTACACTTATAAGAACAAAAACCCGCTACCCTTGGTTTCCAAGCGAGAGCGTTACCACTGGGCTACAATAGACTATATCAATTCAATTAAATTTTCTACTGCATATCCGTGAAACTAATGCGAAATGATACAAGAATCCATATTTTTTTTAATTACATGATTCCGGCTCAAATTATCTATAAAGTGCAATCAATCACTGTCGCAACAATGTATTTAACTGTGCTATTTAATTCTTTCTCTTCCTTTCTTTAATGTTGTTGGCAAGATTTTTGGTTTTTTATTGTATAAGAGCAATGAGAAAACGAAAATATTTCACATCATTGCAGAGATATTATCTATCACTTAGTAATCGAATAATCGTATAGCGATTTCGCTTACTTTCGGCCTTTGCTTCGCTTCGCGCGGAAGGGTCACTAGGTGCCATTTGTATTTATAATATTACTAGTGACTCATCCGCACTTCGTTCAGGTTCATCCCTAGCTACGTTTTAACGGTTAGTGTGGAACAGATAGACGATAAATTATATAGATGCATACATAGGTTGATGAGTTGTTGTATGTTGTATAATAACGTGTTTTCCCGTGAGAGTGAGATAATCGCCCGCGAAGATGCTTATATCACTTTCCAGTTCACCAACACAAAAAATCACGCGAATCTGTCCCTCTGTTTCGACGTCAAAGAAGGACAAACAAACAAACACAATTTAACAATTATAATATTAGTATGGAAGTATGTATATACAGGTAGTGTCACCTTTTGGCAAATTTTAATACTAAAAGTGGTCTATTTTTTACTCCTAAGTCTAGGTTTAACTAAATACGTGGGTTTTACTAAATTTCATACAAATCCTTTCAGCGCAAAGGTGTAACAAACACACACCCTACATATACACATATACATTCATATATAAATGAATAAAGTGTCTGTTGTGTTATGTCAAAATAACAGCTTTTTTCTAAATGCATATGAAATTATATACGGTACTTATAAGAAAAACTCAATTTTTAACATTCTTCATTTAACTTATTTTTATCAACATCTGTTTGACTGTTAGTTTCGGCTAATCTCCGAAACGGCTGGACTGATTTCGATGTGACTTTCTTTGGCAGATAGCTGATGTTATAAGGAGTAGCTTAGACTTCTTTTATTTTAGAAATAGAATTAGGATCTCGCTCAATAACATTAAAACATACCTAGGGACGCTAGTAGTAAATAATAATAGATCTAAATCGATTTCTATTATCCAACAAGTATTGTTTGTTTTTACCATATAATAACTAAACTTATTCTGCATGATCTACTTTTAAGTACAAAGTGATTTATAACACGATATTTCACAACACGCAAAATGTCTTCATAATGAAGTTGGTATAGCATCGTGTTTAAATTGTTCCAAGTTATTTGCGTAGTTGTAAATTAAAATAATTAATATTATAAATCTACATCAGTTTTTACTGAATACACGCAGGCCTTAGGGAATTAGGGCATAATTACCAAATTTGGTTATATTTTTATATCAGAATATTTATTATATCTTACTTATAACTGAGAAATCTTAGGATATCAGGGCAAAATTATCGACTTTTTGTATATATATTTTTTTTTATACTTTTACTTTTATTTCATTATATACTTTTTGTATATATTTTTACTTAAAAATGATACATTTATTATCTTATTAATATAATATTAATGATATATTATTATGATATATTTATTTTATATACTTTTACTTTTATTTTATTATATACTTTTTGTATATATTTTGACTTAAAAATGACTTAGGCGTATTGTATTTTATCTACGGATTAGTCTCTTACGATGGATCCCAATAAAGTATCTACTTATCTGTGGTTTCTCTCATTAGCCAATTCCTATATTTGACATAATTTGTATGGAGCTCAAGTCATACTATCTCTAGGAAGCACGTATCCATACTCAAAAAAGTCGAAAAGAATCCTGGTAGGAAAGTCAATACATCAACATCAGTAATATTACACCACACATAATAGGAATATGTTCCCAAGGAACTAGTGTTAAATCATCACACCTACTGCGATTATAACTGACTCTAAATAATAGATGAATAAAAACTAAAATCTAAAAGGTTGATTATTATAGCCATTTCTAAAGAACTAACAAAATCTTTGCACAAAATGCTTTTACCCAAAAACATTATATTGAACTACCGTTAAGATATAATGCTAAATTATAAGTAAGGGCATTCACGAAGAACTTGGGGCAGACAAAAAATTTTTTATACAAGAACATGAGTAAACAAAAATATAAACAAAGAATAACAAATTAAGGCTAAAATTTATAATTATGCAAATGCATTTGTGAGCAATCCGCAAGGATGCACTAATGACTGTGACGTATGATTGCAATATGCCCTAAACATGCGATACTATATGAAAACTGAAGGAAATCGGCGAGTATAAATATGCAATAAATGGTAATGATCGACACACTTCATATAAAGTATCCAACCAAAATGAACACCTATATCACTGTAAGTATTTTTTTTATTGTATTAGCGAATTCCCCTTGCTTTGCTCTAGCCTTAATTGAATGCTTCAAATAACTTTTAAGTTGATCCTTTTAATCCAAAAATGAACTCATATTCTCGTATGCAGTGTATATTCTAATAAAATGTTATTTTAGGCATTTTTTTATCTACCTAAGTAATATTTTTTATTTATAAAAATATTAGTAACAAGTTATGACCCCTGTATATCCCATTGGCAATATGCATGAAGACTGAAACATTAATGTCAAAATATCTAAATTAAAATTCAAAAATTAGGATTAAAATAATGTATCAATAATATTTTTTCAACCCCTATTTTATGCTATTAGTGTTCAGTATTGTTAAATATGAAAACGTTATGCAAAATTTCATTATTTTAGGCCGAGCGGTTAATATCATGTGTGGTCTAACATTATTAGTATCAGTTATATATGTAACAAGTTAAAAAAAAAGTAACAAGAAATGTTCCTTAAAACGAAGACGAAGAAAACATGTATATGTACACACACGAAGCAAGATTCGCAGAAAACCTGCATGTCTCCGACTGCATGATACTATGTTTCTTCATTAACTTGTCTTTTTAGTTGGCTTTTTTCGCAGTCCGATATTTTTTAATTGTTGTAAATATTTTTTTTTTATTTTCAGTTCGCTTGCCTTTTGGCCGTAGCTACTAGCGCCCACGGCTCGGGTTATGGCCTCGGTTATGGTGGTCTCGGCTACAGTGGACTCGGTTATGGTGGATACGGTAAGCGTTTTTACTGAGTATCGAAGTAATGTTATTATAATAATATATAAATAATATTTTATATATAATTTAAAAATATAATTTTTTTTATTCTTCTAGTATTAACAATAAATAAATGTGAAATCTATAATATAAAAATGATTCTCTAAATGTGTTGCTAAGCCCAATACTCTAGAACGGCTGGACCGATTCAGCTATTTTTGTTTCAAATATTCTTTGAAGTCCGAGGAAGGTTCTTATGAACAGAAAAATTGGAAAAAAGTCACGGAAAAACGCAAAAATCACATTTTATTTTTTCTTTAATACCTACTACTATATAATTATGAACTCGACCTTAAAATGAATATAAAATACTTGAATGCATTTGTAGATTTGACACTTTTTCTTTCTACGATATTTTGACTTTGTTTGTTTGTCCTTCTTTCGGGGTGATTCGCTTACAGTGTATAATATATCTGTTAACTGCATGCTGAAGAAGTCGAATGGATTTGGATGAAATTTAATACACATCTGTTGTAAAGTTTTTTCCAGATAAAAAAATAATACTTTCCTTTATTCACAGGAGCAACAATTATAAAAGAACCCGTCATCATTAAGTCAGCACCCATCATTAAAACTGTGCCTATTATTAAGTCAGTTCCCATCATAAAAAATGTAGAAGTTGCCCCAATTTTAACTTCCCCGATTATTAAGTCTGTAGGATACGGTGGATACGGACTTGGCCTTGGCGGATACGGACTTGGCAAAAGCCTCGACTACGGACTTGGCTATGGTGGATACGGACTTAGCTATGGTGGATATGGAAAGAGCCTTGGCTATGGTGGATACGGTAAATACTATTAAAAAGATGATGACCGAAATGGACGATTTTGGCAAGCTGAAGTAATATGCAACCTAAAATTCATTTGAACTTGTAAATCAAAATTTAATGTCAATAAAGCATTCTCATTTTTTATATTTTTGTAATAATTCCTAAAAATTTAAGAATTTAGGCATTGAAACTATAAGGAGCGATGTATAATAATTTTAATAATCATAGTAAATATCATATTATATCCATTTCAAAATAATTAAAAATAGGAAATTACTTCATATCTCTTTTATATCATCGTTCTATAACATCATATATTATGTTTTGTTGTGTAATTTTCAATTAACTACCACTAGTCCGATTTACACCTTTAACGGTAGGAAAAACGGATAGATCGGTGTTAACAAACATATACTATTATAAACATTTTTCATAAAATTTTCATATATTGGTCCGGTAACGTAAACGTCATCGCGTTTTTTCTTCGGGTCGTCAATCAGGCTTTAAGCTATTGTAGCGCTGTCAAAATTCCTAGGGCTAACAGCAACACATAAATTTAATAACAGACAATAATCATCAATCAGATCAGGGTAATTAATATAGGTTGAATTATGCGTTAAGACCTTCGAACTCCAAAAGCAACGTCTAGTCTATTATTTCCAGTAAAATGAAGTAATTGTGCCACATTTTTCAGTCCGGTCAAGTTTGCTCAAAAAATTGCCCTGTAAGGTAACTACAATTCGCATAGAGCTGAATATTGGTACAGATGTTTTCCCACATCTGCAAAAAAGATTATTCACGGTCACAGTTCGCAAAAATGGGTTTTTTCATTTTTCAGCTGAACGGTAAATTTTATCATAAAAATAGGTCAATGTGAATAAATTTGCAGATCTGGGATCAATGGGGGACTTTTCATAATTCATTTATAATGTTGTTTCCAAAATCTGTACCAATATTGAGCTCTGTGCAAATTGTGGTAGCCATGAAATTCTTATTTGACCTGACTATAGATTTATTGCGGAATATACGCTTACCACCATACAGAGTGAAATAAATATATATTTTCATACATTAGATTATTATTTGCCTACTTCAATTAGTATTGTAGTTTGCGCAAAGAAATGGAAGTTATTCCTTCCCTTATAATTTATTGATATGCTTTACAGTAGAATGTACTTATGTCTGTTTATGTAAACCTACGTAATGACTGTTATTTTCAGTCAGCACTTTTATGGGATGGTAGTTGCGTTATAAAGCCAAAATAGTTTTACTTTTTTTAAATTATTAAAACTCAAAATTCAAGGTGTCTGGTAAATAAATTCATAATATCATTACTTTAGTTAAACAGTTGGAATGTTTTAAGTTACTCGTCAAAATTAGATGTTGATGTATATTTTGTTCTTAGTATGCGGATGAATGCGGAGTTTGTACTCGTTGACCTAAATTTGCACAATGAGACAGAAAGATTCCCACGAGACATGTTGCCTGATCGTTAAAACCACTGGTTTTTAATGTTTGATTTGTAAGAAATAATTGACATATTAAAAAATTTAAACCATATTGTGCTATCGCTTTTTTGGCAAAAGGTAGCGATTTCTATGTTCAATTAGGCCAAATTTTTCAAGTATTGTACGTATTTATCATATTTATTCATTTTGTTTCCGAAAATATAAAAGAAATGATCAAAGACCAGCCGGAATTACTTAGCGAGTGTTCCTAACACAATTTATTTGCGATACATATTTGCTCAGAATAAAAATTATGGCATCCTTCTTTTTTATTTCCTGATTTATTTTTGTAATAGACTTTCTATTATGTTTTCAAGATTACTACGTTTTAATAGATTTAGATTACGAAGCAGTAGCACAGATAGACGGACAGACAGCGTAAGAGTAGGTATATGGCTTCTACTAAATAGGTACGGAACTATTGACGGGTTCTTATTAAGAGTTCAAATGTAATAGCAATGATCCGTGCCTTTATACTTTTTAGGGTAACTTTTTGCAATTTCTTAAGAATTTATTGTAAGAATGCCACGAAATATCTTAATTCAGTCCGTTTTTCGGCCTACCCTTAAATATTTTAACAAACGCCAGTGCAATCGTTCCGGATACAGCGGCAGTAGCCATTATGAAGTATTAATGTTTGCTGTTCAGTAAACGAAGTTAACTTTACATTTTCATGCACGACAAAACGGAAAATTTGCTTGAAAATTATTGTGAGCCCTGGCTTAACTGTATGAGATATTTGTAACAGGAGGCATGAGTGTTGGGTTACATGATTCTCTCATGGTAAAGATAGCACAAGTGTGGCGCCTACGCATTTAAATAAATTGGATCCTAGTAATTAATTATTTGAGTAATTATTTTGTCAAATAATAAGTATAACATTAATATTTTTAGGAAACTTTAAGTCAAATAAATTTAGCATTTACCAGCTTCGCGGCTGTAGAAGAGGTTTTCTAGCTATATGTTATAGTTGTAAATTAATTTATACCTACGAAAATATTGGAGTTTCTTTTTCTATTAAATTTATGTTCTTTTTATTAACGTTTTACTTTTGATTCTGATATTGCAGCTATGCACAAACTCAAAACCAATCTATGAATTTCACTATCTAATTCCCACGATACGTGCGAGATTAGGAGAGAACCGGTGGCTTTCCAAGCTCGCCGAGGCACGAGAGTGAAACATAACCAACTTCCTAACTCTGGTCTGCCACTAAGAATTTCTTTACACATAAGTCTAATTAATTTGACCCGACCCGGGACTCAAACGGACCAATTATAATTATCGTGATGGACTGCAGTCGTACATGCTATATATAGTTTTCCAATATAAAAACAGCTTAATTAATTTTCGTAGTTCTAGTTTCGTAGTTTTAGTCATTTATTGGCGGGTATTATTTACCATAGCAACATACAAGCAGACCAGCGATCAAAGTATGTAGGTACTTGACGAAAAACAGAAATCTAAGAGAAATATTAATGTTTTAAGTCCAAAGCTCGTAATTAGATTTAGAGAGGAAAATTAGGAACATAAAACATGAATTAACATAACTTTTAATTGAAAACCTTCTACACTTACTTTGATGTAACAAATGATCTTTATTGAATTGTACTGACCGTGTATTTCAGTTAACTTACGAAGAATCTATTACACCTAAGTTTAAGCCGTGATTTCTGCTGTGTTAACGTGTGAATTTCATATTATTTGCAAACAGTGATATCTGTCTAAGTTCATTGATTTTAAAACTATTTTTATAATATTAATCCTTCGTATTATTAGAAGATTCTGATCTATATGGTGGACCTCTCACTGTTTTTCGGGGGATTTTTTTAATCAATAAAACGTAATTAACAAACACGATCCAGGGGGATTGTCACCAAAAATTTGCTATTATTTACTAAAAATCTCTAGTGTGAAGAGGTTTAGGTATAATAACCCTATATCATTAAATTTGGTCCACCATATAGATCGGGATCTTAGACTTTATAGTAAATGGATGGTGTAATGTTCGTAATAAATTTTGCCTGGCTAATTCCATATTTTATTATCAATTAGAAATAATGCAATTAATAAGGAGAAAAATATGAATATTAAGGTATGACCGCATTACTGTCGCGTATATTAAAAGGGCCGTCAAGTATGTATGTAGGTATGTTGCTATGAACCAACGAGAGAAAAATAAATTTATTTAAAATGTCAAATATTCGCGTGAATCTAAGAAAATCTATACACATAAAAAAATTGTAACTAATCCGAATCTGTACATTAAATATTTTTTGGAAAATCTTATTGAAATAGACATTATTATCGATACAGATGCCGAATCTATAGTTTTTAGAATTTTTGTCGGTCTGTCAGTGTGTCTGTCTATTACCGCATCACAGAAAAACTACTAAAGGAATTTTGATGAAATTTGGTATGGTGACAGCTGGTTATCCGGGTCAACATATAGGATACTTTTTATCGCAGGAAAATGTCTCATTTCTGAGTTCTCATTTCTGAGAAAAAATACAAAAACTGCAATGTAAGAGTATACTAATATGTAAAACTTAAGAATTTGGTTTTTGGTCATCTGAACGTGGGCGGAGCCGCGGGCAATGCTAGTATTATATAAATTGTTTGTTTTTAATTACCAAAATTACGCGTTATGAAAGAAAAACAGCAAGAGACATCATCGTTCTTTCAAGTGGTTTAAAATAGGAATAAAAATTCTTAAGCTTATTCAATATTCATATATGTCAAATAATTAACATTAAAAAACTCATTATAAAACATATAATTTTTTTATTAAGTTACTATGCCTGGAATTTTAAAAGAACCTTGCCAAGACTGTGCCACTGAATTATTAAACGCTAAATGCTTGCGCAGTCATTACGCTCGTTCACATATTTTTATATTATAGTTATTATAATATTTCTAGCTATGGCTGGGATTTGTAGCGTATGTTGATTTCAAACAAAAAAATCATACTGATATTATAAATGTAGGTAATAAAAACTTTTTAACAAAAAATATAAACCGACTTCCAGGCACTAAATGTAAAAGTATAACTAAACGGAGGTTTTCATTTAGAATAGCTACCCAATCATATAAGCATGTAGATAATAGGTATGCTTCTAAATACGGATAAACCTGAGAGAAGTGAGGATGCTTCACTAGTTTGACTATAGAAAAAAACGTGGGTTTACAATCAAATTGCACTAGATATTTTCAATTACCAAGAGAATTACTTGACGGGCAGAGATGAATTGAAGTTTATCTCCTTTAGCATATGTGTTCGTACGTGCCAAAATTTATCTTCTTTGGCTTTAGTTTTTCAGGTGGGATTTTTTTAAAAGCTTTATTGCCGAATTATTTTATATTTACACCAATTTAGCCTGGTCATATTTATATTAATAGCGTTAGATAAAGATAGGTGTTCAAAAACTGCCCATATTTAAGTGTAGGTGTAGATTCTAAAATTTAATAAGCTGGTATATTATATGTGTATATATAAGATTTTATCTGGATATCATGCAACGTTCATTTCTTTATGAAATATACTGCTTTTTTTCCGCAATGAGGTAGAATATTGGTATCGTTAAATAATATATTATGCTCAGCAAAATTATTTTTATATGAATTCTTGCCAACCTGCAGTGAGGAGCATGACAGTAAGCCTTTCAAGATAATTTCAAGCAAACCGAGGTTATAGGTATTAGTTACATATAATAACTATATAGTAAAATCATTTTTTAAGACGTCAGACATATAAAGTTACACAATAAGCCATATACAAATACCAGGCTTTAATAAAAAGTGGTTTTTAAAATGTAGCCCGCTCCAATTATAGCACTGAAAATAAATGCAGTGAAAGGCTGACTGAATAGAATGTGAATCGCTAGAGATCACGTTTAAAAATAAAAATGATAGAAACCAACGGTCATTGTTCACAAGTGGATAATATTTTTGAAAGCATCTTATTATTAACATAAAATGAAATTGATTTTATGCAAACTTACGATTTGGAACATCGCGAAAAAGAACGGAAATATAGTTTTATTCAAAAAATCAATTTTACTATTTTAGTGTCGCATTTATTTATATTTTAAAACTAATATAACATTTAGTTATTTTATGTGCCAGTTCGGAGATTTTGAATGTTAATTGCCAAATATTTGTCTTTATTATAACTGTCATATGATATTAATATTTAGGAGAGTTTGCAAATATATATATATATATATATATATATATATATAATATATATATATATATATATATATATAATATATATATATATTTTTAGGCAGAATCATTTTTAGGTTGATATTCTTTGTCTTCATTAACTGAGAATAAGTTATGTTAGATGCACATTTTTATAGTCTCATTCTATTTTTTTGAAAATATTTACATGGGATTTGGTATTGTTAGGACATACTCGTATCGTGTCACTTTCTGCAACACCTTTGATGAAATTTTTGGGTATTTTGGGGCAGATTATACAGGCATTTGCGTGTGTCTTGTATGTTTTTAATGTCAAAACATACCTTTTTTCTACCCTGCGGTCTTCTAAGCCGTCTTCAATGACTCAGGTTGCAATAGAGTAAAACCTTTTTTCGGTTATTAAATTTTTGGATGCATACCTCAGATCTAAACCCTGATTTCTATCCTGGCTGATAAAATTGCAGTTTATTTTTCAATCTACTTAACATTAAACTATAAAATATTATAGTGTTTTTACATATTTAATAAAAAAAAAGAAAACATTTATTTATCTTTATCATGGAAACTGAAATCTATATGAAGTTAATACGAAGAGTAGGTGACAAAATTAAATTATTCAGTGTAACCCAAGAGTTTTAATCCAGGAAGGTCAAAAATTTACAAAAAAGTTAGGTTTAGTACATCTCGCGGTTAAGATCAAATGGATATATGGATTATTAGATATTTAAAACGTCATTATATATATATATATATATATATATATATATATATATATATATATATATTAATTATTAAAAAGTAGTAGTAGAAATAATACAAGTTAATAAAATGATAGTTTCATCTTAAACGTGTTAATAATGTTTAATTTCTTCAACAAAAACAATATATTAAATGCAAAACAAATACAAGTCATTTTAAGCGAACAAGGCTCCACTGTTTTCAGTGCATTCTCAACTCTCAAAAGTAACTTTGCTATGTTAACTAGATGCCGAAATAATTAAATAAACACATGTTTATTTAAAAGAAATGGTTCTTCTTAATTATATACCAAATTAAATATAAAATTTAAGAATTTATAAATGTATTATTTTATAATAATAATAATTAAATATTAAATATATTGAAATTATAGATTATATTTTAATATATGTATTTAAAAGTGAAACTTACCGATGTAAGGGTCTTTTTAGTATATAAATTATGTATTATTCAGTACGTTTGTAAACAAGATTTATTTTAGTACATAAGCAGTGAAATAATTATAATATACTTACTTCTTAATTATATTTTTCTATGATTATTTGTAAACTCTAAATATAATAGCATTTGCTATTTAAAAATAATTATTAATAAATAAAAGTTTTGTTATGAATTTCTAAAAAGTTAGGAACGCATTGCTCCGCATAGTGCAGCTTTCCCGCGTGCTATCGACCGTAGTGCGGGAAGCACGAGAAATGCGCGCGCACTGACACTACTAGTGACGTTCCGCGAGTTTGAATACATTACAATATTCAAAATGTAGATCCTGGGGGACCGAATTTTTCTTGACGCTTTTTCGCAAAAATTATAAAAGTTGCTTTTTTTTTCAGAAAATACACATAAAATAAATAAAGAAAAACTTCAAAAGCAAAACCTTATCTAAATGCAAAATTTGATCCAAATCTTGAGAGCAGTTCCCGAGATACATGAAACATATCATATATATATATATATATATATATATATATATATATATATATATATATACTTGTATATACAAGAATAGCTGATTTATTATTATAATAAGATACAGGATGGAGAGTTGCAATAATAATTAATTATTATTTCCTCACTTAAAGACTGTCAATAGCTTACTATATTTTTAACATACTATAATTAAAAAAGTATAGTATATTTTTATCATATCATAGTAAAAAATTAAGTAGTAATCTATGACTGTGATATTTATAAATACACTTCTATATAAAATAATCGGAGCTATAATTCAGTTTTAGTCAGTAATAAACAAATATATATATATAAAAAATAAATTGTAATATTTCTAGATCGAAATAATTTTATAAGATATTTTATTTACTTTAATAAACTAAGAATTATAAAAACCGTAGTAGTATATAATAGTACAACTATGTTTTAGACATCTTATTCAGAAATCTAAATAGTTTCAAAACTCGGTCAGTAATTAAATAAATTTTTACTCATTAAAAATAAATGAACTTATCAAGTGGAACAAATCTCTTGATATACATGTTTAAAGTTCTTTGTTCTAGTTTTGCTTAAAATAATTTTAATTTGTAGTTAAAAACTTAGTTCACTTTCATAGAATAATCGAAGCATATAATTATTCTGTATGGAAAAAATATTAATATTATGATCGACTTGTTATCTGAAACAAAATATAACTGTTTTATTAATAATATAATAATAAAGTAGGGAATATCTGATCTATTCCATTTATTATAATATTTAAGTGATTGCTTTGTAAATATAGTCTAGACTTTAGTGTATTAGATACTTAATAAAATAATGCATACACGGTTTTGTTTTCAAACAAGTGGTTTGTTAATGAGGCGATTATTGGTTGGACAAGTTATCTGTTAAGTTACGCGCGCTTTATCGATAAGGGCTCACGCTAGCTGCGGCAATGCCAGTAATACCCGTATGAAAAGTTTTCCATAAGTGTAGGTTATTTTATATAAAAAAAAGTTAATTAGTACAGTTGTCTTTAATATTCAATTATGTTTATTGTGTTATGTGTTTTAAATTATACTTTAATTTTTATAAGTTTTATTATAATATTACATTAATCAAGAATTATAAATAAATATCAAAATCATTAATATTGTTAATTTGTTTATTTTGTGTTAAAACGTAAAAGTTTTCATTTTATTTTTATTTCATATTTTGAATAACTTTCTGACAAAACTTTTAATACTTTCATATAAGAATAACATTTGTTGCTTTTTCCCTAACATTAAAATTAAAAAATATTTCGTGTCACCCAACGTCTAATCCAAAGGAGAATTTCCCACAAGTTGGCAACACTGTGCACAGTAACAGTCAGACGCCGCATGGCCGAGCGCGGCAAGCATCGCGTCGCGCCCGTGCCGGCGCCGACAAAGAAACAATACGCGTACGTGCCTTGTCCAAGATCTGAAGAAGTCGGTACAGAGTTTGCTTTACAGCTTCTTAGGCATCATCAGGAACCTCCCACGCCAGAAAAACAACCCGGTGAGTTTGACAGTTAACTTTATTTTGGCGGGAAAACTTTTATTCCTTCCAGTAAAAAAAAACGGTTAAAGGATGCATTTTGTAATGCCTAAAATGCGTCTGTTATGTGTGAAATGTATTTAAAATATTATTGAGTGACATTAATTTTGGTTTACAAAAAAAATATATAATTTTTCTATTTCATCTTACTCTTAAGTGGTTATGACAGCATCGGTGATTTTGAATATAAATTTAAAACGATCCATCTAAGCTGCCAGGATTACTGCGGTTATTTTCAACTTTTCTAGTATAAATTTATATTTTTTTAATGGACCTAGAAATAAAACATTTGAAATGTAGGTCATAGACTGAAAATTAAAATGTACATTTTTATGAATTGTTTATTATCATTTGCTGTGATTCAATTGGACATAAACAATTTTACATTCAGATTACTTCCGTACAATATATTGGTATTTAAAAAAAGTTTTAATGACGGCATACATATAAATTCAATCATATTAAATGATTATTGATATCAAAAATCTTTTTGTAGTAGATTAATGATATCAAAAAGATCAGTCAGATATATGTATTACCTATATGTATGAAAGACACGTTACTCTCACAGTACTTACATAATTGAATATCAGAAACAGTAGATAATGGCTATTAGTAACAACAATAGCAATTTAATTAATAAAAAGCTCGTATAGAATTATTAATGAAGTATGCTCATTGAAATCCTAAGTTATTTTAATCCAAATAAAATATATTGCTTTTATCTAAGTAGTGGTAATAATTAGTTACCGCTATAAAGTCTCATTCGCAATCCATTTACCTGAAAATTTACGTCGGATCAAATAAAATGGGAGAACTACGAGAAAAATTCTTTCAAATATTTAATACATGCATGAAAACTTCCCTTTCCTATCTAATTTAAAAATGTAGGTTATATTAATTTTTCAATCTAAAAGTTAAGTTTAAATGCCACTAATATAATAAATGAGAAAGTATGTGAGGATGTACGGATGTCTGGATTTATAGATGTTTGGATGTTTGTTACTCTTGCATGCAAAAATTACTAAATGGATTTTAATGGAACTTTAAAATAATATAGCTCATACATTAGAATACGGTTCCCGAGGGATAGATTTGTTTGTCTATAAAAGTGACTTTTTTGTATGAAGTTGATGCTTAAATGATTCTTATGATAATCATTGTCTAACTTATTTTGTTTGGAAAACATCAAGAATGTTTGTGAAGAAAATAGAGGACATGATGCAAAAACAAAGACATTTATATTTTTAACATTTGCCTTTTTAGCCTATTTGCCTTTTTGCCTATGTACTAAAAAAAATTTACGGGTAAGCTATTTGGTAGGTTTCAAAGATTTTTTTTATAACGAAATAAGAACAACATATAAATATTTTATTCAATTATTATATTACCGTTAATTGCAATACGCGTAAAAAATTAAATTAAACTTGACAAAAAAATGTTTACAAAAATTATTTTACCGAAAATAAAAACTAGGAAAATAATTTTTTTTAACAATAATAATACAGTGAATGTTCTGTAAAAATACTTTACTCTTCTATAAATAAGGACTGTCAATTGGTTGTGAAATTGTATTAAAACGAAAGAATCCTAGTAATATCAGATATAAGGCAAAAGTTAGATAAGTTTCTGAACGAGTTTAACCAAACATTTTCCGAATCTGTAAAGTTTTTTTGATAACATTCTAACACAACTTGCTCTTTGTTCTGCTTTGTATGACATATATATGTAATATGTAATCAATAGAGAAAAGCTGTCCATATCAAGCATATACTACATTAGTTACTTACTAGAGAACGCATATTTAATAAAAGTTTTGGTACTAGTATTACATATGTATGTAATAATTTCACGTTATCATTTTCAAGTTTCTTGCCAGCTCTCAGCAATATGAGCTGTGGTAGCGTCTTAATGAACAGACAATTGTACCGTTTGAAATTAAAATTAAATTAATTTAGTGTATTTTTACAAATGTAATTATAAATTATTGTATTTAAAATAATATTTTCTTAGATTTATGCAAATATTTGATGTTTTTAATGACAATCTTTAACTCTAAAGACAATGACAAAAATCATCACATGTTTAACTTTTAAGCTCCGCTTAAATCAGAACTTGTCAAAGCTATATTATATATGAATGATTATGCAAATAATATATTTATTTAAATATTAAAATTAATTTTTAATTATGAAAATTAACGTTATATCATGTACGTAAAAAATTCTATTTTGTTTTAAAAATGAAGTAGTGCAACGTTCACCAAACCGTTTGTAGGTATTTATTTTTGTGCGAATTGTTCAAAAAATACCACGACAATATCTTGTTAGTATTATAGAAATGTGAGTTTTAACCTCTTTTTGATTGATGTGCAGATCAACTGAATTTCAGAGCATAAAATTTTATAGCTGTGTTATAATAATATTATTTACTAGCGACTCACTCTCCCTTCGATCGTGTTCGTCCCTAGGTACGTTTTATCAGTTAGTATAAATTTCTCAGAGACAAGATATTTTCCCCAGTAAAAAGTATCCTATATGTTGACCTGGATAACCAGCTATCATCGTATCAAATATCATCAAAATCTGTCCAGTGATTTTTTCGTGATGCGTTCCCACTTCCCAGACAGATTGACAGACAAAAATTCTAAAAACTATAGATTCGGCCTCAGTATCGATAACAATGACTTTTTCAATAAGATTTTCCACAAAATATTTAATGCACAGATTCAATTTAGTAAGAATTCTATTATAATATGTAGATATAGATATGTATATGTAAAACAATAAATTGACTTAAGCATCGAATATTTTTATATAGAAGATACTCATAAAGAAGAACCTAAAATAACAGTGTTTTAAACGATTGTCTTCAAAAGGTCATAAATAATTCTAGCATTTTAGATAAAGGATCCGAATGGGCATTGAATGAATTCCGAATAAATTACATAAATTAGCAATCTCTTTATTTGAAATATGCTTTGTGTGAAATCAGATTCTTTAAGCCGTATGAAATTTTAAAGCCTAAGTAGAAATAATAAAACCTAACTAGAACCACTTAAGGGATCTTGAGTCATTTTTATTTGCTACAGACTACAGTGGCAGCTCGTCCGACATTTATTTTTTATGCCTAGTAACTTAATTTAAATTAATATTTTATGTTCTTAATCTATTTCTTAATAATAGGCAGAAAATTATATAACGATATAAAAAAGTAAAGATATGCCCATTTGTTCGAGCGCCTGATGATTTTTTAAAGCAACGTATTTCAAACTACTCACAGTTAACTTTAACTTTTATTATTTTTTGTTGTACCGTGTGGGTCATTAGTAAATGAATATACTTCTCATCAAGTTGTCCTGGTACGCGGTCTTATTTTTTCCTCCGTGTCCTGTTAAGTCCCGTACATGGTCCTTTATCGAGCGGATAGTGCTTATATGGAGATTAATAAAAGTAATTGAAGATTATATATCCAAATCAGCGATTGTTAACGACGGAAATAAGTAATTAACATGGACATAGAATTGGCCGGTACTGAGAAGTAATGGAAAGATCGAGTACACATTATTTTCAACGGTGTTAAGTTTTATTTGTATAATATCATCACCCAACACTCAAACAGGTTGTATTTAATTTTATAATAAGTTTATATAAAAGGTTAGTACATTTTTCCCTGTGTTAACTATTATTATAACTCATGCGTAGGTACTCGTATGTGTTAGAAATAATTTGTTAGTTAGTGTTAGATATTATTACAAGTTAGTAATTATATTGTAAATTAATTTAATTAACCCGTAGTGTACTTAAAGTTATCATTTGTTAAAGTTATATACTTATATTTTTGTTTTATAAATAATTATTAAAGAATAAGGACAAAATAAAATAAAATAATAGTTTGTCATCATAGATTTATTTATTGTATTTACATATGAACGTAATAAATTGCCTATTTGTATTATTATATACAAATTGAAATAAATTGTTAACTTATTACATAGCACGTAGGTATCTCAAAGTTTTGTATAGTTAAGTATTTTATTACTTTATAAACTTGAAATTGTTATTATATACATTCCAGGTTGACATCACACGTTTCCCAGTATGTCCGAGGAAAGGGAGTTGATAAAGAAACGAGGAAGTTTTAAGGGTCGCTTAACTGCATTTATTAATTATCTTGATGCATTAAGTGACAACAAATTAAATAGTTGTGATGTTACCGAGTTACAATTGCGCATGAGCAAGATCGAATCTTTATATGAACAATACGATGAGGTACAGTTGCGTTTAGAATGTGTGGTTGATGATATAAAAATACAGTTGTCTGAGCGTTCTGAATTCGAGTCATTATATTATAAAACCTTATCTAGGTCACAGGAATTATTAAAATTATATAATAAAGATAATGAATCGATTGCTAGTTCTAAAAGTACTCATGCCACTATTCATAAGCCTATTAAGTTACCTACTATACAGTTAACAAAATTTAGCGGTTCATATAGTAACTGGTTGGAGTTTCGTGACACCTTTACTAGTCTCATCCATAATAACGACGAGATTGACGATATAAATAAATTTCATTATTTGCGTGCTTCCCTGGAAGGATCTGCTGCTGCTGTAATTCATTCGATTGAATTCTCTGCCAATAACTACACTGTGGCTTGGGATTTAATATGCGATCGTTTTAATAATAAAAGGTTATTAGTGCAAAATCATGTATCAGCGTTATTTAACATTGAAGTTATCACTAAAGAGTCTTCTATAGCGTTAAAAGGTTTGATAGATCAATTAAATAAAAACTTGCGATCATTGGAATCCTTAGGCGAGCCTGTCAAACAATGGGACACCTTATTAATATATTTAGTTACTCGCAAGTTAGATCATAAATCTTATCGCGAATGGGAGGAGTTTAAAGGGCACATAGACAAAGATAGTAAGATTACTTTCGATGTCTTCCTTCAATTCATTCGCACACGCGC